AAGAAGTAACCGTAAGTTCAATGCTAACAGTTTCTTTTCTCGCTTGGGCAACTCCATCCATTCCGGTTCCATGATGTTCAGCCAACTTTAATCTGCAGGAATTTAAATAGAATGTCAATCGCTGTCTACTGCCCTTCTGATTATCCTTTCATCTTCCCGCTCATTATTAATGTTTCTCTTCCTAATTCTTCCAGTAGCCCCCTCCCTTGCGTCTTAGTAGATTTAATGCATTGCATTTGGTGATACCGATTAAAAAAAATATTTATCCTTTTTTTATGTTGAATTGTAAAAATATCAATTTTTTGGACGGCAACTGGTCTAGGAGTAGGGGACCTTGTGGCACGTAGTGCACCAGGTCTCCATATTCGGTCTTTCAAAAAGTGTGGTTGGTCCTGCACAAAGACTTCACCACTATAATCAAATCATATGTGTTGGTGTCTGGGCTGTCAGTTCCTAGGGACTGAGCTGTTAGACCCTCATACGTCGAAACTGACAGGGGAGTCCATCATATATATATATATATATATATATATAGTTCAAGTGAATCCTAATATTGTAAAAATATTAAAACTGATCCACAAAGGGGAGCTCAATTTATTTATTATAACAGAGCATATATATTTTGGGGATTCCTATTCTATATATATATATATATATATATATATATATATATATATATATATATATATATATAAAAAAAAAAAATGTGGCAATTATTTAAATATATTTTTTAATTTATACGTTATTTTTATAGATACAATTATTTAAATACTCTATATATATATGAAAAAAAAACTGTTATTTGCATTTACTAGCCTGAATGTCCGAGAAAGTCCATATAAATATGTGTACCCCCGGCTGGAATCGAACCTGTGTTCTACACAGAAACATCATGGGAGTTGATGAGCTATTCCACTCAACTACAGAGGCAGGGCCAGAATTAGTTTCCCACATATTGTTAAGGAATTTTCTCGGACATTCAGACCGGTAAATGTAATTAATAGTTTATTATAAACACAGCATTTACTAAAATAATCGTATCTATGAAATTAACGTATAAACAGAATTATATATATATATATATATATATATATATATATATATATATATATGTACACCAATCCATACATATCCGTATTCATATATATATATATATATATATATATGTGTGTGTGTGTGTGTGTGTGTGTGTTGTGTGTTTGTGTGCGTGTGTGTGTCTTCATTGATATCTGATTTTATGAAACGGAAATTAATTATTCCCACTTTGTTCGAGAGGATTTTTCTTCTTTCTCTTTGAATTAAAATGAATCAGTTTTTGAATTGATCTCTCTTTCCAATCCCTTTATTTCTCTCTCTATCTCTTCATCTGTTTCTCTCATTTTCCCTTCATCTATTTCTCTCTCTCTTTTCACCTATTTCTCTCTTTTCTCCTATATCTCTCTGTCTCTCTGTCCCCACCATCCAATCGTCCTGTTTTTCCATTCACTTTCTTCAGGTTGCATCTTTTACATCTGTCACAACAACAGATCTTCACCTGTTACATCTTTTTATCACCTGTTCTCTTTTTACATATACTTCCGAATGCTGACTCTCTTTCCCCAAACCGAGATTCTTACCTTGCTTTTGCTGACTTCTCGCTCACGTGACACTAACCCGAAATTCTTCCATAGTTTCCTGTCTGTCGCCTCCAGACCCTAAAGTCTGAGCGTGTTCTCTTACCGCCAGAAGCGTAAGAAGTAGTTCTTCCCGCCACCAACTTTGGGAGACATTACCGGAAACAATAAAGACCGGAAGCTTTAAAAGATGGTTGCCAGAACGCCACGGTCCTGTTTCAATCGATTTTCCATCATTGATTGATAGCGTCCTCTTCTGACGTGTAGCCTTTCCATTCCGATTCGTGTGCCAAATTTCTGGAAGGAATTTTAAAGTAATTTCAAGAACTTCATTCTTAGTTAACTCACTCATTATGTAATATAAGTTCCCCTGGAGTAACTTACACTATAAACTCAAAAATGCCAGCATCTTTAATAAATTTCAAAACCCAAGAAATGTCTTTGTTATGTAGACATATTGATTTGATTTGATTTTTTTTATGCTTTATCAACTCTACAACTCAGTAAGTGATTTTTTTTAATTAATTAAAATTAAAGAAAAGCTCTGGAAAGTTTGCATATCATTGATTTATATCTAATTCTTGTATTGTAAAACTCTCATTTTTGAAAATTGTAAGGAGATTCAGAGAAAAATATTTCAAAATTAAATCTTTCCTGTTTTCTACAAATTTAAGTAGGAATTTAAATCATTTTCACTAAATTAAGGCAATAAAGTCACTAAGACGCAAGATTTTGCTAAGTGTTAAAGAATATGACGAAAAATACTATTAAAGGGAGAGAACAATAAACGAATATGAACTAAGAAGGCGGAAGATATCGATTGGCATTGCATTTAAATTTATCAAGATCATTAGAAAACTGGGAAGGAAGAATTCGGAAGAGAGTTCCAAAAGCGAGAAGTATGATAGAAGAAACTCTTAACATAGAACTTACGGCTACATCTAGCTATTTCAACATTAAAATGATGAGACCTAACTCCCAATGTAGTACTGCGGTTAAAGTCCTAATGTCTATTTGGATATATTATTTTGAGTTGATTTTCACTCTTCGTCAACACCTCAGCTGACTACATCTCAATAAGTGATTAGTTTTAATTAATTAAATTTGAAGGAAAAATCAAGAAAAGTTGAACAACATTGATTTGTAGCTTATTCTTGTATTTGAAAACTCACTTGAGGAAATTCTAAGGAAATCCAGAGAAAAATAAATCAGAATTTGATAGTAAATATATAAAAAAAATCGAAGCAGTTCGAGTGGAACTTTTTTTCTCACCACTAGAATACGGAGGGAATTTGCGTGCTTTGCTACGATGTGAGTGGCATGACAGGGCATAGCCGTGAAGGTTAGAAATAGTGGACCTAATGCAAATAGCCAGAGAGCAGCGAGAGTTTTGCGACGTCTCGCCTGTGCGTTGCAAATTAGACAATGATCTGTCACCCAAAGAGAAGTAACAAGATGCCTTTCTGTTTTCACGTATGATTTCATTTTCAAGTCTTTTTTCACTGCTCTTTGGACTGTCATAACTGAAACTCCTCTCTCACGTGCCAAACGTCGTATGAATTGAGTTGGATCTTTTCTAATTGATTTTTCAGCTCTATGTAGAAATGATGACCCCTCTTCTTTTTGTGACCACCTGATCCAGCTTTCCTCTCTACTGTTCCCTCTTTTTTAAACTTATTCGCCGTTTTCATGATGGTTCTTGAATGGGCTTTGAAGATGCGAGCCAGAGTTTGAATGTTGATATCACTACTGAAGGCCTGAATGATCTTTTTCTTCTCACGTTGGGAGAAGAAAAAGATCATTCAGGCCTTCAGTAGTGAAGTAGCTAAGTTGGGAAGACACAAAACAATTTTAATCTGTTTCCTTTGTAGCGGAATAGATAAAATGGTTTTCCATTGATTCTTACGACACATGGTGTCAAGATGGCTAAACATTTTATTTGAAAACCTGGAAAAATTTAAATCAGTTAGTTTAGCGGCTTTTGTTAGATATCAAACATTTCGTGGGATGGACAATTATGCAGTTACACGATTTGGACAATTTTGATGTTACATCCCGATGTATTAATCGTCTCCTTTCAAAATAAGTTTGTATCGACAAATACAAACAAACAAGCTATCGAAAGTGGCTGATTCAAACAAAAGATAAAAGCAATTTAATAAAATGGCTCAGCATTCCTAGTTTTTATTCTTTTGTTGTTTTTTTTTTTCTGCCTTCGTTCGAAACAACAAAATGGTATCTCTAATAATAAATGTCAGTAAAAACAAAAAGCGGGGAAAAAAATCTCAAAACCTTTTCGCAATCTGTTTACTCACACCGGAAATTCAGTTAGCGATCTACGCAGGCGTGATTAATGGCGACTAACTTGACAGCGCAAACATTGGCTAATCTCGCCGCTGGAACGGTAGCCATGCACGGTGGCTGACCAATGAAATGAACCCATTAGATCGTTGCTATCCTTGATGGACGGCGACGCACCTGTTTCTATTTATGAGACCAACCCAGTGCCCGGTCACCGAAGTTATTGCGCGTGTCCGCCATCACCTAGCCCGCAAACAAGCGATCAATGACAACGATGTTATTAATAATATTGTTTGAGATTGTTACGTTTTGTTTACTTTTACCTGATAATATATACTTAATACCAAAGCTTTTTTTTTCTTATTCAATTTACTAATTTCTGTTTATTTGGGCGGCAAACCTTAAAATCGCTTGATGTCAAGATCAGTAAATCATTAGTATCGCAAAAACATCCCCACAATCTAATATTTTCTGGTTTTAAATAACATGAAAAAGGTTGATAAACCGTAAAAAAAAAAGAAATCAATTACTCAAACCTTAATACCGATGTTTTCATTTTTAGTATTCCTGGTTGGGTTGTTGACTGTTCGTAAAAACGATTGTTATCAAGATCGAACCTCACTGGCTTCTTCAGACGTTCAAAATTGTTCAATAAATTCCAGAGCAAATTAAACTTAATATTTTTCTATATGATTTTCCCCAAATAAAAGGCCCAAGAGCCACTCATGGTAGAGCGTTACTGAATCAGATTTTAGAGAGTTAAGAGGAGGAGTTTAGAAGTGCAGTTTATAAGGATATGTATGATAGTTTACAGTTGAACCAAGACTTGTCCATCCAATAAAAACCCAAGAGACACTCAAGGTTACTGAATGAGGTTTTATGGGCGTAAGAGGAGGAGTTTATGGGGATATGTAGGATAGATAACGGTTGACCCGAGACAAAAAGCCCAAGAGCTAATGAGGGTTGAGGGTTATTGATTGAGGTTTTATATGGACGTAAAAGGAGGGTGTTAGAAGTGAAGTTTATGAGGACGGGTAGGATAGATATATTACGCCTGTGACTCGATTCCTAGTAAAGCTAGGCTTAAGGTCATATCAAGGTGAAAGAGCCAGTTCTCGCACGAACACCGAAGTTAAGCAACGTCGAGTCTGGTCAGTACCTAGATGAGTAACCGCTTGGGAATACCAGGTGAAGTAAGCTTGGATGTGCGGGTGGTGTAATGGATGTCGCCACTGAATTGGAAATCCGAGAACCGAGTTTCAAATCTAGTTGGTTTCGTTATATTCACTAACGCGCAAATAAACTTGGGAAAGGCATAAATCCACCTCTTCTCCCCCAGCTATGGATTAATTAGTAAGACTTGTATCATTAAATCATTATTATCTACAAAAAATTATTAAAATCTAAAAATGTTTTTCCGGCTTTAAATGATATGCAAAAGGTTGGTAAGCCTTAAAAAACACAAATCAATTAATCAAACCTTAATATCAAAGCTTTTTCATTATTACTTATTTGGTTTTTGTTGGTGGAACTGTTCATAAAACTGATGGCTATCAAGATCGAACTACTATTGATACTACTGATATGGCTACAACCATATTTACGTTTGTTCCTTTGCCACGCCTACCCAGTTTCGCCATTCATTGACAGAAGCTCGTCAAGTAGATTACCCGCTGCCTTCTCCTGCCCGCCTTACCTGTAGTAACTTTCTAAGCGTAGATTAGCACATAGGCCGAAAGTACGGGACACCCAGCGAGTGTCAAACTCACTGTTCATGTATCATTTGTCTAGAGCTGTGGTTCTTAACCTAGTTTTGATCGAACCCCAGGGTTTCGGTGCTATCATTCTCGGGGGGGGGGTCGCCGGAGGTTAAGACATGTCAATGATGAATACCACAACGAAATTATTGGAGATCAGATCCAAGTTCAACAGCAACTCTTCAGAACAACCACGCTCTCAATGACATTTTGGTGTCGTCAAATCGTAGAGTACCCTCTTAATCGTAGAGTACCCTCTTAATCGTAGCGTATTGTTAAGAAAGCCCTTGAGATACTAATACAGTTACAACGTATACTTTGTGATGTCAACAAACAATCGTTGCTACTTTTATAAGGCCAACGAATACTCGTTGTCACTTTCGTAATGCTGGTTGTAGTAGAGACTTTGTAATCGCAGATACAACTATAGTAACACCGTTGAACAATACTGGTGTCAGCCGCCTTCGAATATCACTCTCACTAATAGTACTTGCTCGATAATACTCGCTCGAATAGTAACCCGTGTAGTGATATGAATAGAGAAATAGTATAGTGAATAGAGTAGAGAATAGCGCTCCGTATAATAATAGAGGAAAAGAGAAGAAATGAAGATCAATTAGACGTTACGCTACCATCCATATATGCGTTTTCTCTATGGTCACGTGATCTACTTAATTAGAAACGACAGAGAGGAGGCACACCACGTGACTGAAATCGATTTCCTAGGTCTGGATCGATTACAGTGTCTTTGAATTGTGTCAACAATCTCGAGATATATGGTAAGAGCAACAGACAAGATTTTGTGATGTCAACGAACACTCGTTGCCACTTTTGTCATGTCAACGAATGCTTGTTGTCACTTTCGTAATGCTCGTTGTAGTAGAGGCTTTGTAATTGCAGATATAACTATAGTAACGCCGTTGAACAATGATGGTGTCAGCCGCCTTCGAATATCACTCGCACTAATAGTACTAGCTCGATAATACTCGCTCGAATAGTAATCCGAATAGAGAAATAGTATAGTGAATAGAGTAGAGAACAGCGGACCATAGAGGATAGAGTAGAAATGCGATCCGAATATTAATAGAGGATAGACTAGAAATAACGATCAGTTAGACTTCCTACTTATGCGTTTGCTCTATAGTAACATGGTCTACTTAATTCAATGATGGGATCGCCTGTTTTTGCTCACTGGCGATCTATGTTCAAACTCAAGTGTCGGCAGTGACACTTTATTCATATATAACAGTATGTTTGCGTGCAATACTTTTCGAGGATGGTAGACATGAAAACGAGAAAAAAAAGAACAAACTTTGTCGCGAAAATGATATGAGAGTGGCACTTGCCAAAGACACGCTTTTCTGAGCTTGTCTCTGGAAGGTAACATCAAAAGTCACATTGATCTGCAGTAAATATTCTTTGAGCCATGTTTTTTTTTTAGTGTGTCACAGTCATGTTTTGTTCTTTGAACATAGTAATTTTGAGTGCAACTGATGCATTATTCATTTGTGCACTAATAAAATATATACCTATGTTTAACAGAAAACATATTTTATTTTTCTAATTACGAAGGGTTCGATGTCTGCTTGAATGAAACATATGGGATTCAGTACCACCAACGAGGTTAAGAACCGCTGAACTAGAGCAAATTAAAGTTAGCAATTTTAAGTACTATAGTTCACAAGAATTAAGATTCACGATAGGGAGAGTTTTACTGAATGAGATTGTGGTAAGTGCATTAGAGTGCGAAGTATCACAGCTCATCAGTGTGGCAGACGTCCTGTTGCATCTGGTTGGGATCGAAACTTGAATGAATTGGCGTCAGTCGGAGATTCTACCCCTAAGCCGTTGCCGCACGTGGTGAAAGTAATTTTATTTTTAGATAAAGACACAGTGACGGTGAGAACTCGATTCGCTTTACCGAAGAGTCTTGCATTATTAGCCGTTTTGAACAATAAAATATATTAATAAAATTATTAAAAAAATAAAATTTTTCAGACGCACTAGATTGTATGTTAATATTTTGTGTGTTTTGATTTCATTTAGCTTCTTACTACAGTTCAATAGTTTGAGGCCAACGCCTAGTATTTTTTTTAAGTTGACACAAAAAGTAATTGTTTTATACTTTAAATAAGAGAAAATTATTATACATGTTTTAAAAAATTGAGACATATTTTTTATTAAAAATTTTATTATGAACAAAAAAAAAAAAGAAAGAATTTTATGTTTACATTTTGCTCTCGTCAAAATATCCTCCTTTAGCCTTGATTACTGCAGCATAGTTTTTGGCATTGATTGCAAAAGATTCTCAAAGTTTAAGTTTGATAACTGATTCCATTCGTTTTTAATGAGACTAAGAGCTTTTTTTTCACTCTTCTGCCAAGTTAATTCCATGCTCCTTCTGTGGGGTACCTCAGACTTTTGAACTGTAGTGTATATGCAATCTATCTATCTATCTATCTATCTATCTATCTATCTATCTTAGTCTCTTCATAAATATCTATATATCTACCTAGCTTTCTCAGTAAGCACATATCTATCTATCTATCTATCTATCTATCTATCTATCTAGTGTACTCAGAAATTAAGAGATTTTTGTGTGTTTATAATTTCTGATGATTTTTAATTACACCTGTTTGATCAACAAAGTAATCCTGTTTACACACACACACTTGCACACATGCGCGTGCGCATATATATATATATATATATATATATATATATATATATATATAAATATATTTATTTATTTAAAAATATGATTCCAACTCGCGACATAAGATATATATATATATATATATATATATATATATGTTTTGAACAATAAAAAATATTCAAAATTAATAAAAAAATTAAAATTTTCAGACATATATTGTATATTAATATTTATTCATAATATCAATTAGATTTTTCACTTTTCTGTCAAGTTCCTCCCATGCTAATTCTCAGAGTTGCTTCAAACTTTTGAACTGTCGCATATATACAGTCTATCTATCTATCTATCTATCTATCTATCTATTGCCTATCTACCGAACGATGTTTCATATATGTCACGGTAGTTTTACGTTGTTTTGGTTGGATCGTAGTAATAGATTTCTTAATCCTTCCCAGGTGCATAGATTTCATTGCTAATCTATTTTAGATTCACACTTGAACACCTGGTGGCTGAGAGGTCCGATTATTTCTAACTTGCGCCAGTGTCCAGAAACACAATTTGAACGAATTTCAAAACCACTGGAGAATATCAGGAAACTTTGTGTTTAGGAATTCAAATCATTGTGATTTAATCCCCGTGCATTATAAAAGTTTGTTATATATATATATATATATATATATATATATATATATATATATATATATATATATATATATATATATATGCGCGTGTGTGTGTAAAATATATAGAAAATAGGAAAGAACTCGTTAGGTAAATAATCCATAGTTCTTTATTATTTTCGTTATTATTTTTTAAAAAGTGCTCGATACAAAAGTAGAAAAAATATGATTCCATCGCTACATAAGATTTCTCATGTTTCAAATCAAGAGCCGAAATCTTCAATATAAGTATTTAATTAAATTGAATTAAAGTACCAAGCTCTGTTCCAAAAATTTCGCTTGAAGATTTAATTCAAATAATTATATTGAAGATATGTTTTGAAACGTGAGAACTCTTATGTAGCGATGGAATCATATTTTTAAACAAATAATTATATATGTATATATGTGTATATATATATATATATATATATATATATATATATATATATATATATAATTATTTTTAAAAAATTATAACATAAATATGTTATAAAATCACTACAAAAATAACCATTTTGTTTCAACACCCTCGGTGTCTTATCAAGCGATGATGTTGAATGTAAAAAAAATGGTTTTAAAAGTTTCAAATTAATTAACGATTCTTCGTAAGGGGAAAACGTTGTTACAAAAGTTAGAATGACCAATCAAAACCCAAGTATAGGAAGATTTACAAGCTTGACAACGAAATCATGTTATAATAGCTATTCAGATCTTTAAAATACGGATAATATTAAAAAAAAGAATTTATTCTAACCAATAATTATTAAATTATATGATAAAATTTGATATTAAAGTTAAAAACTGCCAATTTTAAAAATGCAAATTTAATCACTATTAAGTTTTAAAACTATAAAATTACTGAGGAGAAAAGAAGAAATGCATATGTTATTCAATTTATTTCTTCGTTGAAATTACGTTAAAACAGGCGCTACAATACGATCACCCAACAATACATGTATATACATTCAGGACTCTGAACCATGCCACCCAAGCAGAAATATCAATTCATGACTGTCAGATATCTGGCTCCCTAACTCCCCAGAGTGTAACCCACTTGATTATTATGTGTGGGGCGTAGTTGTGTGAAAGACCAACAAAACTCCTTGTAACACCAAAGATG